AAATATAGGCCTTACAGTGACGGCTTCAGAGATCAATCTTGCGGGAGGAAAGGGAATGGGTGTGTGGGGTTGGAGAATAGTGGTGAGGAATAAATATAGGCCTTACAGTGACGGCTTCAGAGATCAATATTGCGGGAGGAAAGGGAATGGGTGTGGGGGGTTGGAGAATAGGGGTGAGGAATAAATATAGGCCTTACAGTGACGGCTTCAGAGATCAATCTTGCGGGAGGAAAGGGAATGGGTGCGTGGGGTTGGAGAATAGGGGTAAGGAGTGGAAGATTCCAACAAGTATAGCCAAATTACACCGGCGGGTTTAGAGATCAATCGATTGGGAAGGCTTCTAAATAGCCTGGCAATGAATGATCACGTTAAAATGTTGTGTATAGTCCGATATGTATCATGTGTATCGTAAAAGAGGGATATGATACATTTTTACGATACAGCACATGCATTCTACATTAGATACCATTTAGTCAATTGTGGCAATATCAAAGGATCAAGATATATATAAACTTTATCTGAATAAATAGTTTATTTGTACAAAATGTATATAACTCGTTAGAACATTCGCCAATATTATCGTATATCATATATCGAACCCGTTATTTTATATTAATGCAGCTTGTTTATAATCTGTATTCCTACGAATGACAAACCTTATCTTTAGTAGGATTACACCGCTGTTATGCAGCTTCACTTTTACAGATACTTTCTTATTTTTTTTACAGACAATTTGGACCGAATATCCAGCGAATCGGAATGAGTATTTCAATGGAACAAAAGTCCCAGATCACAGATATCATTCAACTACCATCCGGGGGATGCAAGGAGTTCCGAACGAAACCTGGTACAAGCAAGAGGAGGCTGCAATGAAATCCCCGATCGATTTCCATGGCTACAATAACCAGGGTGGCTACTTTCCATTCTGGTCCTCTGAGCCGTACACATACGCTGTCACTATGTTAGCACTGTCAACATTCAGTAATATTGTATGAACCATGAAAACTGGTGAATTAGCATCCCACATTTATGTATTTACTGTTTGATAGCTAAATTAAACATTTTCAGGCTTCTTTGGTTTCGATAATTTTGATTTTTTAAGACAAAGGTCTTTGGTATTATGTAACGTGTATGTCTAATGTAAATCACTAATTTTGCTATTTTTACTAAATGCTCCTGTGTAATATCAACATACAATGTATCCTATTATGCCCTGTAGAATTTACACTTCTTTGAGAACAATTTAGCCTAGGAGATTAGAAATAACGAGCAAGTTCATGTTTTGGTTAATCTGTTAGAATAATTGATTAAAACGAATGTCAACTTTTTGAAGAGAAATAGGTTTTTCAACTGTCAGTTGAGCACGGGTTCATTAGTCTGACTGGGACATAGGATGTCAGCTGAAAATGTTAAATATGAAACTAGGATCTTTAGACATATATATTTATTTAGCCCAAGGAATAGAATAATCAGCTCTTATTGTTTACTTGAAAACGAGTATTATCGATAAATTATAATTGTAAAATAATGTACATGTTATAATAGGTGTAACATAAGGACATGGAATAGTGTTTGCAGGCAGTGCACAAGTTAGCCTATCTATGCATTTTCTAACCAGATTATCAGGTGTGATTCAGATATCGGGCAAATAGATAATTAATAAATAATTATAATAAAAATAATAGTTCGAGGTTCTTACATACCGCTCTATCACAACCTAGATCGTAGGTCGTCTCAAAGCGATTCACAAATTATTATCCGTGGTTATAGGCCCTTTTGCAACCAGGCAATATCTTTCTCAACTTCCTAGGGAGCATACAGCTGGAGCTGCCATTTCGGCGCTCACAGCTTGCATTCTACAATTCTAGCACGTACTCATTTACAGCTGAGTAGACTGGAACAAGCGGAGTAAAGTATCTTCCTCAAAGTTACAACAAAGTGTCATGACGCGAGTCGAACTCGCAACCCTTCGGTCACGAGCCCGGCGTCCTACCACTAGACTACTTTTGTCAGGCGGTTAAGTTATTATTTCATATTGCAATCTGCTTAATTTTTTAGAAAGATACATTTTCAGGCCAAGTTGTCATTGGAAACCATTCGTATCTAAAATTCACATTCCAATTAATAGAATTCTCGAAACTTTAGACTCTTGATAAAAAGACCTTGAAGCTTTTTACAGATATCACATAAAGGAAATATTGTTAGTAAAGTTGGCGGATAGTGTTTGATGTAGGAGAGTTTCTAATGTCCCTGACCTTTGTCGTTGAGAGGGAGTTAACCCACAAAAGCCACTTGAATTCTTTATCAGAAATCTCACCTGATCGCGGGTTTTGTAATAACGGCTAAAGCACATGTGTAAAGTACGGATCAGGCGATCGCGACAGGACTACTGGACCTAATTTATCACATAATCGGCCTGTTATCCAGTGAATTCGCCCGTGTAATATTTTTACATATCACTAGTTTAATTTACCCTGGAGCGTTTTTCATTGGTTGTGCCAGTCAGAAATCGATTGTGACGTCATGATATGGACAATGACGTGACGTCATACATTGTGAATGGCGCAACAAAATGGCTGTCTCCGTTTGATTAAGCCCTCTACATTTTGGCTTTAAAACCTGTCAAAATGTAAGTTTTCTGAGTTATGTGATAACAAGTATCTTAAATTTGTTTTCATTTCATATGAGCTTTTATGAAACTCGTCTCGAAGTTTTAATTTTTGCTCGCTAAGGCTCGCAAAAATAAAACTCCCAAGACTCGTTTCATAATATCTCATATGAAATGAAAACTCAGTTAAGATCCTATATTTATTACCTGTAGTTATCCTTAAATAATCAGTTAAATATAATACAAAAATCTAAATGTTCATAAATGTTTTTGGTTATATAAATATTACTTGTATCATATTTTTCTTAATCACTCATTAAAATGAAATCGATTATCAGTAATGAAATTATCTAACACATACATGCAAACTCGTAATTTGATTCATTAGTACTTTATTAAGTCTCATCTGCTAAGCCCGGCTATTGAACCTGGGGCATTCGAATAAAGTCCGGCCAGTCCGTAGTTTTGTTGGCCGCTGGTCAGTCAAGTCAACCATAATATGAAGTCGTTCCATATTGGTAGCCCTTATAAGGCTGGCCATAGTTGTAACCCGTATAAGGCTGTCCATAGTTGTAACCCGTAGAAGGCAGGCCATAGGTGTATCCAGTATAAGGTTGGCCATGTGTGTAGCCTATGTTTGAAATTCCCTGTGTATGGCCCTTAAGTCCTACACCCTGGACCACTCCTACTTCCTGAAGACCTCCTGTAAATATACATAACAGATAAGAATTGAGTTTTATTATGAAGATATTTTTTCTTATTTTACAACAATTATGAACGAAATTATTTTAACTGGTGTGAATCACTCTTGTTAGCATAAATGTCAGCTTAGTGTGGGAGGAAACCTGGGTACCGGGAGAAAACCCACGTGTTCGGGCAGGTCACCCCATACCGTCTCACGTCCGATCGGGGAATCGAACCCCAGCTGCCTTGGTTGAAGGCAGGTATGTTATCCACTGCGCCACTCGATCTCCCAAAATGTTTAATTATATACATAATTTTAGCATTCATGCGATAAAATAGATAAGCTTTCTTGAAAAAAATATCCAAAGTCTTTGTCTGCTGATTTACCTTTTGGTTTGCCAGTTGCTGATAACATTAATTTCTCAAGTGTGAATAATAAGAAAGAAACAAGGAACTGTATATATGATATGGAAACGTCCGTTTGATGTCTGTAGGCACTGTAGTGAATCCATCATGACGTGAAGGATGGTTACAGACAGAAACATAAGCTTACCTGTAATATGTAAGTGTAGTTTATTATTGTATCAAACGTGTGACGGAATTGTGTGCTCAGTGATGTGATATTGTGTTGTCAAATGTACCTTGTCTTATACATGTTGGTAAAAGTATCAAAACAAAATAGTTTGCTAAGTGTCAAAGTGATGAAGAAAAATGCTCATATAATATTTATGACAAAGAGAAGATAAACAAATCAAAACAAATCAAAAACAAACAAAAAACCTTCTGCTTCATCGACGACGCAAGCAGTGTACAAGTAATATCTCGTCCAAACACCGAGAACTCAGACAGGGACAACAAGGCGCACGAACAAGCATGGCCAAAAACGTCATCCTTTCTAATACGAAGAAAAACGAATTCCCTATGAGATTATGATGGCGACCTCATATTTTATCCACAGTCTTTATACAACTTCATCATTGAAACCCTATGTTGTGAGTTTTCCGTCAGCAGTCGACGTCTTTCGCGGATTTTAAGATCGGAACAAGCTCTTGAGTATCGAACAACTGCGATATATAAACACCGTAGGAAGGGGGATCAGGGGGTGTTACTATCAACAAAGGAAAAGTTAAAGATCGGAAAATCGACATCGTCCCGCTTATCATACAGTATAGTGGTAAGGCGTCATCTTGGTCAAGTTGTGAGTATAGATCGAGGAAAGTGTAGAAGAGTCTCTAGTGTTCTTGATTTCAAGCTCAAAAGGGTATATACGATATAATTGGTAAATAATTTCTTGATATGTAAAACAAAACATCAGCATATATATGAATGTGAAATTGGTTGACGTGTCTAGCTTTTTGTTACCAGTCCAAATAAGGTCATCAATAAAGTCAGTCTCATTTGAAAACAAAGACAAGTCGACCAGTTGAGGAACACAGTCTGGTCCAATGCCTACAGTATGCTGAAAAATCTTGCCTCTTAAATCAACAAAGATAACGTCAACCAGGTACTTCAGCTTATGATATCATTGTATAAAATAGCAAACATGGCAGGGCAAGACCAGTGACATGTCACGGTGAAAGTTACATGCAAATTTGAATTCCTTAGATACATACCATGATAGACTGGTGGCTGATGAGGTATGGGATGCGCTCCACCACCACCAAGGCCACCCTGCAAAAACTGAAAAAGGAATAGCCCGCCTAAGACTAGAGCGGCTAATGACAAAAAATCACTATCGAACCCATCCGAGTCGTCCCCAGGCGGCCCCTGTAACCCAGTGACTCCAGTGACTCCTGTTGCACCAGTTACCCCTGTCGGCCCTGTTGGTCCGGTGGGACCAGTTTCCCCAGTAGGACCGGTTAGTCCAGTTGATCCAGTTGGCCCAGTTTCTCCAGTTGGTCCTGTAGGACCGGTAGGCCCAGTTGCTCCGGTTTCGCCTGTTGGGCCAGTGGGCCCAGTTTCCCCAGTAGGACCAGTGGGACCAGTAGGGCCTGTGGGACCAGTAGGACCAGTATCTCCTGTAGGACCAGTCGGACCAGTAGGGCCTGTGTCACCTACAGCCGCCATTTTTACTCTGTAAAACAATCAAAGTAGACAGTGTTAGATCGCTGTATATATAAACAAATCGTTATATCAGTATTTTTACATCTTCTTATTTTAAAAATACGTGTATAATGCATATATAGCTAAATGTTATATAATGTTAAGTGGATGAACACGCCAAAACTGTGGCGTGCCGAATCATATCCAACATCTTGTGATATTGTTTGTATAAAAATGATAAAACCTGTGTTTAATATTTTTGTATTTTGCTATTATTATCCCACATGATCGGATGTATATTTATATTTTAATCAATCATGTGAATTGGTGTTCTGGCGCATTTAGGTATGAAGTAAAGGTCAATTTCGTCTCAACATGGGTAACCTAAAAGAAGCAAATTAAATGTGTTAATAAAATGCTTCTATTTGGCTAATGTTGTAATCGTGTATAAATGGGAATATATCACTAGGATTTGAAAATGTTAGAAACATAAATTATATATTTTTTCAATATCAATACACTGTAAAAAGTATGGTAGACTACCCCTTCTCCTTTGTTAAAATAACTAATTCGTTCGTCGCCTGACGAAATTAGAAACCAAAAAGAGCAAACCTGTTCCAGCTAAAAAAAATCAAGAAACCAAAAAGAGCAAACTTGTTCTGGTTGAAAATACTGATACGCAATTTTGTAAAAAAAATACATATACTTTTTGAACGGAGTGTGACCACAAAGAACGATAGGAGTATTGTGTGTGATGTTGTGAACGTAAATATATGATATATAATTTATAAAATAGACTGTAATTCGTCTTTTTTATATTTTTGATCGAATGTAATACGATTCCGTTAAAAACAAATTCAGTTGTATACCATCATAAAAATGCTCTCAAAAAATATCAAATAAGTCACAAAAACTGAGAGCTTAGTTTGAATTTAGAGATGAAATATGGACTTACCAGTGGTGTACAGGAGGAGGAAAAGGAGCACCTGTACTAAACAGGAACAGGCCGGTTCTGTGCAGTTCTACAATGATAGACTAGCCCTTTATATAGAGTACCGGTGATCAAGGGGAACAACCAAACCAATGGCGAACGTGCGTCCCACCACGTGTGGTTCTGTTACCACATTTACCACGCTTCAGTGACCTGCGGACATGATCACCGACCGCGGATTTCCTACGAAATATCTCTGGTGCCGGCAACTGCAGATTTGGAAAAAACCACTCACACATGTTTTGGTTATAAAGTACAGTACTTTAGCTTTTTCATTTATCAATAATGCTTCGCTTTGGTTTACTGTTACTTCACCAGTAATCTGGTTAATTTCTATTAGGAATACGTACAAATTTACTAGGAGGAAATACTCGTGTAAGTTTATTTATTTGTAGAGCGATCTTATGGGCTGTACTCTATTGTTTACACTGCCAAAGAAATGCGTCCATCATTACAATTCGAATCACGAATAAAGTAGACTACAAGAGGCGTACGTTTAATGACAGATCCTGTAATGAGGATTCAAATGATCAGTATACAAGACAAATCGCTCACTCAGTCATAGCTTCACAAAGAGACCAGTCGGTCTTGAAACGTTGCGACACGTTTAATACGTACAGTGTATAATTATGTATATAGTAAAATTTTAATATTAAAAGAAATACTTTCTGCCACCAAGGTAAGGGGAAACCTCGAGAGTAAATATTAAACCAACAGAGTTTATGTTGGAGATAAAATACAACAGGATGGTTCGTTTTTCAGTTAAAGATATTTTAAAGAAAAGTTAAACATTACCTCTGAAAGCTACCTACATTACAGAAGTATTCTAGAACGAATTAAAAACTTTGAGAAATAACTAAATAAGATCGCATAATCGTGTTATTATTCTCTTTATTTCCTCCAATTTGAAGATTCCATTTAAACAGAATGATGTGCACATATTTACATTACAAAAAATCATATTAAATACACATAAGCAGCAAATAACATATAGATGACATATACACACTTAGTTACGTTGAAGTCATGCATTCAATAAATATCATTAATAAGTGTATACATGATGAGGTCATACATACAAATGAGCTACAACGTATACGTGTATATCATCGTGTATTAAACATTATGTCATTTTATTTTTAATTTTATTTATATTAATCTTTTTCAGTGTGTGAGATTATATCTACACACTACCGGTAGTATAATTTGTGCATCTGTTCGACAGCTGCTACTGATTTCAATCGAAATTCATTCATGTCTAATACATTTAATTCGTAAGTCATTTGTCCCCCAATTAAAATATTAATTAGTTCGTGAACTGTCGAGATTGTAGAGATTTTTATTATCACTCAGGCACACGATTGTGCGCAACAAGAGGTCATCATAAAGTACAATATAACAATGTAGTGGAAACTATTACACTCCTCATACAATGATAAACACACTATTACACTGTTCATACGTACTATCATACCTTATTATAATAGACAATATAACGCACTGCTCATACAATGACACTCATCATACAGTGATATACAGTATTACACTCATTTTACAATACTATTACGATGGTATAATACATAGCATTACATTCACCCATACCGTACGTTCACACAGTGGTATAACAGGCACTGTTGCATCCATCTTACAGTACAATCCTACAATAATATTGTTACAGTATTACACATATATTACTCGCACTCCATGATACATGTATTATAGATAGTATACCACACCATACAGTGCAATCATATCATGGCATAATAGTGACTATCATACTCATCATACCATATAATATTACAAAGGTATAATAGACAGTGTTACAATCCCACCATACAATACTGTAATAGGTAGATACAAATACCTTCAATCAGGGATATAGCAAACAAACCATAATAAACAAGCTGTAACCACACTCATTATACAATACAATTATGTTGGATTCAACAAAATGATCAGTAATATCTATATGTATACAAAAGTTTACAGTTTGATGTGTGAAACTCACATATTATTTTTTAATTGTCTTTTTAGTAATTGTATGAACAGCGATAGATTTGATAATATTCTAACATTGCATATTGATATTAATCCTTTCATTTTATGAACAGATGGATTAGAGGTATAATAAATAGGTATATACTTTCTGCAGATTTGACTTACATAAGCATTTGAACATATAAACAAATAATGATATTCGCTTCCAACTCCAGTAAAACAAAGCGTACAGATTCTGCCTTCACGTGGTGTTCTAGTCAATCGCCCATTCTCTATTGGCAGAGATATATTACTGGTTCTGAATTTACAGATAGTTATTCTTTCTTTTTGTTTGAGCATAGTTAAGTATTTTTCAAACTGAAATTGATGTTTAAATATCGCATATATTTGACACCGGGAAGTACTTTCAATATCAGTATACCATTGTTGTATAAATTGATCATACAGAATAGTTTTAAAAATAACCCTAAGGTAATTTTTATTCATAGTGCAATTTTTTTGTTGTAACCATACGTAACTTTTTTTTTTTTTTTTTTTTACAAGACAAGACAAAACATATATGACATTGTTCATAAGTACATGATTGTTCATACATATTAAACAAAGATCATCATCATCATCAGATATCATCATCATCATATAAGATATTATTATTAACACATAAGCAGATATTAAGCAAAAAATTGCCAATGTCATGTACATACATAAAGACATACACTGAGACACTGATGCAAAAACAATATATATAAACCTATGACATCAAACACACAAGAGAAAAACCAAATAAACTGAAACAGAAAAAGAAAAAACCCCACAAAACACAAAACATTACAGGCGATGGGGAGCACTCCTAGGTCATTATATTTTAATTTAAGCCTGGCGAATTAAAATGTATGAAATATTTGATGATTATTATTACAGTGAGGAGACGATAAAGTACAATAGATGTATATATGTATAGAACAAATATGTCATATATATATTTATAGTCATATTATAATTGCATCCAGTTATCTATTTGATGGTTTAACTCATCCTTATTTATTAATTTATTCTGTTTATACACAAGGATCTTTTGTGCTTTTAATTCAAATTTTATATGGTTTTTGAGACTAGTCAGATTAAGGTCTATTTCTAGGCATTTAGTTTTATATATGTATTGTTTTATAAGTAGTATTATGATGTTTTCTATATAAAACTTTTTATGGTTATATGTATGTTTACCAAAAAGGAATTCTTGTTTTTCAAATCTTAGTGTAATGTTTTTAGTTATAATATTTGTTTTCAGCTCATCAATTAGCCTATCAACTTTTTCGCAATCCCATAGCATATGAACTATTGTTTCAGGGTGAATTTTACAGAAAGTGCAAAGGTTATTGTGTGATTTGCCAATTTTGAATAAAAATGTGTTTGTAGTGAGAATTCTGTGGTTTATTCTGTACTGTAGCCACTGTAGTTTGGAGTTGGTGGTGGTTTTAAAAGGACATTCATATATTTTTTTCCATGTTTCATCATCTATATTTTCATTTAATATCCATTTTCTTTGAGCAGTAGGTTTAACATTATTTTTAATTAATATTAAATATATGTCTTGTGCTCCTTTACTATTTTTAAGTATTAACTTAAGATTGATAGGTATATTTGGAAAGATAACTGTTTTTTCTGAAGTAAAAATGTGATGATTTTTTCTTATAAAATGATGCACAGCATTCTTTAGGCCTTGGTATGTCAAAAAATTAGTATTTATGTTATATTTTTCTTGAAATTCTTCAAAGTGGTAGAGTGATCCATCCTGTTTAATAATGTTATATACAAATTGTACTCCCTTTTTAAACCATGAATTTTTGAATGTAAATTTTCTGTCAATTTTAATTTCACTATTGAACCACAGAGGGTTTTCACGTATATTTGTATTGTATATATTGCTAGAGATAATAGTATTGTACCATGCTTCTAAGACATCTTTCCAAAAGAGGTTACTACAACGTTTAGATTCTTCTTTCAATTTTTCAAGCCCACAGTTAGCTAATGTTTCTTTATCAAAATAAGTTTCTAAAATAAGAGCCCAATTTCCTTCTTCTTTATATACCCGTCTTATCCATGTTGCTTTAAGAGCTGTTATAAAAGATTTTAAATGTATCATTTTCAGACCACCGTCTTCATAACTTTTAATTATCATATCTCTCTTTATTTTATCTGGTTTACCATTCCACAAAAATTCATACAGTACACTATTAATTTTTCTTATATATGTTTCATCAGGATTTGGTAGTGCTATAAATAAATGGTTAAACTGTGATATAAGTAGTGTTTTAATAACTGATATTTTACCTATTGGTGTAGTACTCGTCTATTCCATGATGATATAAGAGATTTTAGTTTTATAAGTTTTTTATCAAAATTCAGTTTTGTAATTCTGTGTAAGTCTACATCATAGTCTATCCCTAGCACATTGAACGTTGTACTTGCAATCTGTTGTGTAAGTGTTTAAGTGTTTCCACTATATTTTTTGCTGCCAATCCACACTACCTGGGTCTTGGAGAAATTCATATTTAATCCTGATATTTTTGCATAATAAGAGAGATCTTTTAAAGTTTCATCCAGAGATCTTTTAGAGCCATCTAAAATAACAGATGTATCATCTGCAAATTGTGATAAAATAATTTCATTATCCCGTACCAATATCCCCTTAATGTTATTGTTATTTCTTAAAAGTATCGATAAAATTTCTGCACATAAAATTAAATTATAAGAAGATACAGGATCTCCTTGACGACAGCCACGTTCTATGCTGAAAAAATGTAATAAGTTTCCCCCTATGTTTACTGCTGAGTGAATTTTTTGTTGAAACAGTTTTATCCAATTAATTATAGTTGGGCCAAATTTGAAATATTTTAGGGTTTTTGCTATAAAGTTCCAAGAAACAGAATCGAAGGCTTTTTCCAAATCAATGAGAAGTATAAGTCCAGGAATATCATAGTCTTCTGTATATTGTATAACATCATATATTAAACGAGTAT